GGCCAGAGCTCTATCCACTATGACACCTAACTGCCCCCTCCTTTTTTTTTAAAGAGAAGAAAATAAGACCTTTCTCCCTGGGTCACCCTGACCCACCACATCAGGAAAGATAGCTATTACCTGAATGATTGAGATGAGAATTTAAATTTGATCTACTATCTAATAGTATCACTGTTGAGGTAAGGAGTGGATACCTTGGCTTCCCTGTTTTGTTTTGTTTTTCTTCTTAGATAAATCTAAGATTGGGAATGGGAAGAAAGGAAAATGTTAGTTCTGCAGAGGCCTTTTAACTGCCTCAGTCTGAAGTCTTCAGCTTGAGTTTATAAACAGCCATGTATTTGAGCCTATAGATTCTGTTCTTTTCTTCAAAGACTTTCCCAGAAAGAGGAGAAAACAGAGGCAAAGAAGTGAATATTTAACAGTAGAATTTAAGCTGTAACACAGGGTGTTTTGCCCTTTGAGAAACTTTCATGCACGGTGAGATTTGAAGATTTGTTGAAGAAAATGTGGAAAAATTTGAGTTCATGAGAAAGTAAGAAAGGACACATGTCAAAAACCAATCCTACAAGATTTTTTCCTGTTTTAGTAATTTTTTTCCCTTGGGGCAAGGATGTATGTGCTAGAGCCAACTCATACAGGCTGATGAGAGCTGATGGTTGAATTTTCAGTATGAATATTTATACATCAGAAATTAGCAAATGCTACAAATCAGGGTTTGATTTATTGTCCTGTTGATTGTCTAGACTTAAGAAACCGATAGAGAAAATATTAACAATGCAGATTATAAGCATGACAAAGAGCCAGATATTAAACATTCACTATCAAATCACGTCTGATGGGAGAAAAAAAATAATATTTATCCAACTCCTATATCAAGGTGTGTATACCTAAAAACAACTATCCCAAGGATAGCTTCCTAAAGAGTGCTGTCCTCTTATTGAAGTAGGAAACCTTTGTTTTCACAAGGATGAATGTCATTTAGAATTCAATACCTTCCCTGACCTTTGCCCATTGCCTGCCTTCATTCTTTTTGCCAACAGGGCCATAACCTCGGCTACATAGGACCAGGTTGAATAATACTCTATGCAGTGCCTTAGGATGATGGATTGAGAGTTGTAAGGAGCCTTTGAGATCATCCGACTACGTCATTTTATAATGCAAGAAGCTGAGGACAAAAATAGGAAAATGATTTACCCGGGGCCATGATTGTAGTAAGTAGGAGAAGCAGGATTTGAACACAATAGGTCATTTGACTCCAGGGCCAGTGTTCTTTTCCCCTTAACTTTTTTTTTTTGAATGAGTGAAATAGGTAAAATGAACTGTTTAAAACAAATGATGAAGGTCAGATCTGAAAGATAAAAGGAGGGGTGTTGTCACAAAAGGGCAAAATAGAGCAAAAAATAAAGGGGAGAAGGGAGGACTTGGAGAAGTGGGAATGAGGAGGACTGTTGCCTGGCAGCTGGCATTGCCTTGGTGATGGGATGGGTCATGTGCTGATTATGTGCACTTGAGCACCTCAGGTGTTTTGTTTTGAAGTGTCAACTGGTAGTGTCACCTCCTCCATCCAACTGAGGCTCCCTGAAAAACTTCAGCTTACTAATCCTAGAAGCATTGGGGGGAAGTAGTGAATGGCACTGTCAGGACTGAAGATCTCTACTTTTTTTAGACTTACCGATGAGCAAATGAATTCAAAAGTCACTTTTCTATAGAAGTACCATGCTTATTCTTGATCAGAAGAAATACTTTTGTTGAATAGAGAACACTGAATAAAGAAACCTGGCTCTTGTGGCTAGGGAGCTCTGGCATTTTGTGTTACATTCTATACTCAGCTGTCATCTATGTCAAGGTCGGTACCAGGGGTCACTCATCTGTGTGATTTTGGGCAAGTCATTTTACCTCTCTGGGCCTCAGTTTCCACATCTGTAAAATGAGGCAATTGAACTAGTTTATTTCCAAATTCCATTCTAGCCCTAAATTCTATTATCTTACTGTTAACTCTTAGACATTCATTTCACCTGTAAAATGAACCTGTAATAATACCTTGTTCTACATACCCCACAGAGTTGCTATGAGGTTCCTCAGTCTAGAGCTGCATAGGACCTTAGACATCAGTCTCCTCTTTTCGCAAATGAGGAAACTGAAGGTTGCAGTGCCTTGCCCAAGGTAACACAGGTAATGTCACTATCAATGGCAGACCAGGGCCATTCGAACTCGTTTAGCAAATCCAGGTTCAGCGTTCCAAATTCAGTGTTCTTCCTACTGCATCACACAAATAAGATAATGTGCCTGAAATCACTCTGAAATCAGTAAACCTTGATACCTATGTAAAGGATTATTATATCCCTCCTCTGTAAATTAGAAACGAAAGAGCTCGAATGCTGCTGCGTACTGTGACTGTGAACAAGAAAACTAACAGAAATGTTAGTATTTAGGAAAGCAAAGAAGAAATTCAGAATGGAGACCATATGCTCCCCCAACTCAGGAGGGACAAAGACCGCGGAAGTCTGCAATGCCGACTGGATGGGCTCGCTCCCCCGTCGCCTCAGCACACTCCCCCTTTCCAATCTGGCTATCCCAGGTATTCTTCTAATTTCCTACTTATTCCTAGGATGTATTTGTGCCTTTGCAATATTTGGGAGTTTGGCTAGGTTTTTTCCTATCATGTAAAGAAAAAAAACATAATTTAATTGCCTGAACTTAATTGGGTAATGTCTGTCAACAACGGGCTGCAGAATTCCAAGCCATCTTTATTGTCGGTGCTAATATCCAAGCAGACGTGACTCTCTTAGCTCAGTCCCCAATTTGCCTAAAATCCAAGATCCACTTCCGTGTATGATGTCTTGGCTATGAGAGCAATGGGGTGGAGTAGGGGTGGGGTGTAAAATACCATTGATGCTGGAGCTTTACAGAAATATTCCTGGTCATCTTGAACATTCAACTGTTGACAGCACGTAAGACTAAGAGGAAGAAGCTTTGGGTATGAAATAGCAAGTAAACAGCTTCTCAATTTGGCGCAACCTCAACCCAACTGGTCCGTGAAAAGGGGAAAGAAAGGGGGAAAGAGGGAGGAGCCAGGCGATTGAAGTGACAGACAGCCCAAGAGGAAGCCAGCCAATCGCAGCTCCCTTTGGCATGGACCAATCGCTGCCTGACTTGCCATGCAAATCTGCCCTGCAGTGAAGCAGGCAGAAAATGGGGCTGGGTGTAGTAAGGGAGGGGCTGCTGGGGAATTGGTTTACTGTCTATGACACTCTTGGAATCCTTTCAGGAAGCTGCAGCACGGGGTTGGGGGGAATTCTTCAAGGAGTAGCTGTGAGAATGATTTGCGGGCAGGGAGAACAGATGTAGCAGCCGTCTAGTGGCACATTCACGAGTATACATCAAGCTGCATATGGTGCCCGCACACCCGGGTATACGGATAATGCATATGCTGCCTGTGCACCTGCCCGGTGCGTGCCTCTGGGTGAAGGTGCTCCTTGGGCAATTATTTGCTCAGGCCTACCTTCCCCTGCTTGTGAGGGCATGTAAGAAGTTTAACCAAGCTGGAGCTGAGAAGATTAAGTCCCTGGAGCGTCTGGGCTAGAATAGAAAGGACAGGGGATTTCGGAGCCTGAGCGCTGGGAGCCACAGATTCCCACCCCACTAGTTCTAACTAGAAGGGCATTTTTTGAAGGCTGGGATGACAAAGAAGAGTGACCCTGAAATAACTACAAGCTTGGGGCGATGCTCACTGAGTGAGTGACTGAGGGGTGAGAACAGATGATTTGTTGATGACAGGAATGTTAGTATTTAGGAAAGCAAGGAAGAAATTCAGAATGGGGACCATATGCTCCCCCAACTCAGGAGGGACAAAGACCGCGGAAGTCT